TGCTGACTTGCCAGCTGGACTCCCTCTGGAGTCTCAGATTTCTTCTCCTGTGGACAAGCACATGGCCTGCCAGGGTACCCTGAGGAGCCCACCTTCTCACCACTAGACCCCATTTGGGCCAGAAACCTTGAAGGTGGCAACTTCCAAAGCATGATCAGGACATGCTTGCAGACGTCAGCCTAGTGTGTGTAAGTGTGTGTGTGTGAGGGTATATGAAAGTGTAGTGTGTGAATGAATGCGTGAGCATGTGTGGTGTGTATGTGTGTCTGCATGTATGTGTGCGTATGTGTGTGTATGTGCATATGAGTGTGTATGTGCTTAAGTGTAAGTGCAAGGGTGTGTAGGTGTGTTTGTGTGTGCGTGTGTGCATGTGGTGTGAGCTCATCATGTGTGGCTGGCTGTGAGTCTGTTTTCTTGCAGTCCTATGTTGTATCATGTCTGCAGGAACTGTCAAGCTTCTGGACTTCCTAGGTTCTGCTGGCAATTTTTCAGCTTGTCAACTGACATATAGTTCTGGAACAGGGAGAGGCAGCAGGTTGGCAAGTGCCACCATGAGCCACAGGCAGGTGCCCTGTGGAGTGGGTGAGGGGCGCAATGAAGGGATGGTTGTGAGAGCATGGGGCTCCTGTGGCCATGTGGGCCTGGCTCCTTTTGCCTTGTTTCCTGGTCATGAAATCCTCAAGGATCCTGGGCTTCTGTTCATGAGGGAATACCAGGTGAGAGAGTGTGGATGGCTGGGGGCAAGCCTCCTCCCTTCTGCTAAAACACAGCAGCCACCCGCCTTTTTGTTGACAGATTAGAACAGTCACCTCAGACGCAAAGGCCAGAGTAGTGTTTGTAATTTGCATTAGTCCCAGGCAGGGAAGTTGATGTTTTTGGCCAAATTGCAATCAGGAACTAAAAATCTTCTCCCTCCCCCGTCTCTCTTTCCCACCCTCCTTCCCTCCACTTGGAGTTTTCTAAATGATTTATTGTTTTTTGTTGCTGCCCAGAAAGCAGAGTAGTGTTGTACCCTGTTACATGCTGCCAGGTTCTAATCTGGCTGGTAAGGCGTGTAACACTCAAGGACCCCTTAAGGACTATAGGTATGGTGCACAGGCCAAAAAGACATCATCCAGGCTAAGTGACTGAGCCTAAAACAGACTTACAGAAGCCATCAGCGCAGAGAAAAAAAAATCATTACAGACATTGAGTCTGTTCTTCAGAACCAAATTCATATCCCAGAAGGAATTCTCTGGGCCTGAGAATAATGGAGGTGGAGGGAATGTTTGGAATTTTGGGCCTCAGCCTCAACTCTATGTGGCAGAGGATGACATTTGTAAAGAGGGAGGTTGAAAGAGGGTACTTGCTACCAGCGAGCCCTGGGAATGACTCAGAGACCAGGAGAGTCAGGAAGCGCCTGGATTCCACAGCAAAGTGGAAAATGGTGGCCTCAGAGCCAAGGGCTCCTGCAGGGTTAGCAAAACCAGGTGCCACAGAGCTTTAAGGGTTGAGAGTCAGCAGTGAGAGTAAAGGGGGCCTGACCTTGTGCCTGGCAAAGGCCAGGCTGCCATGGCTTCAGGTCTGAGTTTTGTGAGGATTAATACCAATAAAAAATTGAATGGGTATTGAGTGCTTGCTGTGTGCCCGGCTCCATCCTAAGTGCTTGAATAGAGATCTATGTATGATTTCATTTAATCCTCACAACAACCTAGTGAGGTAGACAGGATGTCTTCCAGATGAGAAAACTGAAGTGTAGGAAGTTGAAGAAATTTGCTCAAGGATGCGCACTTTATAAAGCTGGCTTCACACCTGAGTTGGGGGGATTTCCAAAGCTGTGCTCTAAGTGATTGCTTCTCGCTCATGGATTTCCTTGAAGTAGGGGTCCTAAAATGTAGGCTCTGGGTCGGTAGTTCTTGGGGAAAGAGGCCTCCAACATTTCTGGGGGTGATGCCCGGGCTGCTGGTGCTGTACCACGCTGTGAGAGGCAAGGTTCTACACCACTACGCCACGTGGACTAATGGAGGCCATCCTAAACCATCCAGTAGCTCACAGATCTCCTCATATCTTTCTTCTCCACCACTGTCATCCACTTACTGAGTAGTTTGTTGTCAGAAGCACTACCTTCAACTAGTTACATGTATTGCCTCATGAACACCTCATGATGGCGCTGTGGGGTCAGTGGTATCGGTCCCCTTGACCAGATGAAGAAACAGAGGCTTAGAGAGGTTAAATCAACTGTTTCAGATCACACAGCAAGTGGCAAGCCTGGATACAGAGCTGAAAGTCTAGGCTCTTAGCATGTTGCATGGAGCAGAGCATTCAAATCAAACTGAGTCTGAACACAGGTGTTGGAGGCGGAAAAACTGAACTCTTTAGGCTTCACATTGGAGAGTGAGGGAGAAAGCACAGTGTTTTAGAGCCAGAGTCAAGCTTCTCCCTTTTGTTCCTTTCTCTTTTTCGTGGCTCTCCCTTCCATTCCCTGGAAGCCTCAGCAAGAGAACCAGCAATCCTTGCAACTAGTGTTTCAGTGAGTACAAATATACTTGATTTCCTCATGTGCCAATAATCCCTTCTTAAATTATGTTAAGCTATTTGCCTTTATAAATCACCCCAGCAGCGAGCTTCCTCAAATAATTATGTGTAATATATAAAAGTAATGTAACGTGATATACATATTCAAAATATTTTAAATCTGACTGTAACAAAAAATCAACCTATTTAAGCCCCCTACTCAAGAATAATTTTCCCATCCCTTCTAGGTCAGTGGCATTTAGATGTGGATTGTCCCTTACATTTTACTTCTTTAGCAGAAGTAGCTGGGGAAGGGGAACCTTCTGACTGGGACTCGGAGGGACTGGCTTTGAATCACAGCTGTGTCCCTTGCCAGCTTTGTGAACATGGGCAAGTTTTCAAACTCCACGAGCCTCAGTTCCCTCATCTGTATAAAGGGGATGCTAACCATACCCAGCTCATGAGGGTGGCTGTGAAGATGAAAGAAGCTATAACTGTGTGAGGGTGCCTGGAATAAGATAGATGATCCGTGAGTGTTGAATCTTTTTTCCCAGTACTGGGAAATAATAACAAGGATGTGTCTGGGTTTTCTGTCTCTCTCAGGATTTCATGGTGCATATTCCATCTGAACAGCTAGCCGTCCATTTTATATAACTGCTAATTACCAAATTAGCCTGCGGCTCTAGGCAGGGATGGGCTGTGCTTAGAATCAGTTCCCTCCTGTATCATTTCAGTTTTTTTTTGTTTTTTGTTTCTTTTTTTGGTTTAGCTTAATTTTTGTGACTGTTTCTAGCTCTCTGTGAGGCCCTATGCCAGCTGGTCTATCCTTTCTCTGCCTAATCACCCTGTTAATCTGCTTGGTCAGCATATCTTCCCATCTCCTTGCTATGCCTTCAGGATCGCATCTGTCTGGAAAAGGCATTTATTATATTTACTTTAACCGGCTGTATTTGGCAAGGCGGCCTTGGATTTTAACTTGGGAAGAAAACCACTTTGATTAGACTGCCCTTGTTTACTGTACGCACTCTTTGCTGTGTATCCCTTGTCCACCAAGACAGCAAATATGTTTGCAGGAATCCAAGACACAAGTTAAACAAACTCTCTGTCTTTGAGAACATTGGCAGCTCCTGGTCCATGACTGTTCTGCACAGTAACTCCTTCATCTGAAAACCATCCCCATTTCCAGTCTTCTACCCTTTGGTGAGTTTGGGCAGGCAGGTTTTCTTGGATGGGTGAGCCAAACGCCTCAGGAGAGGTGTTGACTGGGTCTCAACACTCCCAGGGAACAGGGAACACTTCCCAGCTGGGTATCATGGTGACCGAGGACACTGCCTTAGTCCATGCCGTCATCATCTCCCTTTGACTCCACCAACAGCCTCCTAACCAGTCTTCCTGCCTCTGGCCTTGCCCTTCTCTATACAACCCAGTCGTTACATCACCTTATTTAAAATCCCTCAATGACTCTCCATTGCCCTGAAGAATAAACCCAAGCTTTTCATAGGGTGAACAAAGCATGACTCAGCTCTCACTTTATCAGTGAACTCTTGCAGTCCATACTCAAGTCATAGTGAACTTCTGAATTTGATTCATTTGTTCAGGAAATGCCGAACCCTGAGATTCAATGATGAGCAAAACCAAATATGGTCTAATGTTCACAGACATTTAGGTCTAGGGTGGAGACTGACAATCAAATCATGCCACACATGTAAAATGATAACCTGAGGAATGCTAAGAGGTGAGTGGAAACTGACAAGATGAGGCTGCTGGACAAAAGGAACTGACCTCTCCCAGGAACGAAATAGGTTCCCTGAAGTGGGAAGTGACCTGGGAGTGGAAAGGGAAGCCTGCATTGGTTAGGTGAAGAGGTTCCCATCAGGCAGGGGGAACAGCATGTGCCAGCCCTGTGGCAGGAAGGAAAACTTGTCTGAGAAATGGAAAAAAGCAGACTTGTGGGCCTGGAGCCCAGAAAGCACCAAGGAACGTGGGTGGGAGGTGAGCCTGGAGAGGGCAGGGGAAACCAGGTAGGTCCTGGTGTCCACACTAAGGTTTGGGGCTTATCCTAAGAGCAGTGGGAAGTCCCTGGAATATCGGCACAGTGCAATAGCATAATAAAAAATGTACTTTGAAAAAGTCACTGAAGGTGAGACGAGTGGGCCAAGACACAATATGAGGTTAAGAGTGGGCCAGGAGACAATGTGAGGTTAACAGTAGCAGTGGTTAAGATAAGAGATGAGAACCCAGGAGGCGGAGGTTGCAATGAGCCGAGATCACGCCATTGCACTCCAGCGTGGGCAACAGAGAGAGACTCCATCTCAAAAAAAAGAAAAAGATAGTAGCTTAGATAGGTGATGGCAGTACAATGGACAGTACCAGGCATATTTGCTAGGTGCTTAAGAAATGAGATCTAAAGGAATTGGCCATGGGTTCATAAGGAAAATGGGTGGGAAAAGAACTATGAGGGTGTAGACTCAGCAACCAGAATACTCCCAGAGATGGGTCTTACTCACCTGTCAGGGTGGCCCTGGTGGTTGGACCAATGCCCTTGGGGATCAGTACCTCGTGATACTGCTCACCCGCCAGGGTGCTGTATACAACCTTGTACTCCTGAACTTCGGCCTCGCTGTTATCCCACTCGAGGTCAAGGCTGGTTGCTGTGCGAGAACCAACCCGCAAGTTCTTAGGGGCATCGATCTCTAAAAACAGACATCACCAACATCATATGTGATAATGTCATGTACATTTGCGGTGCATCTTGAACTCTGAAATGATTGGAGGTGACAGCCCACACCCCCGACTCTCTAGCTCACATTTGAGTGAACATTCTAGCTACCCTTAGCTTTTTGGTCTGCCATGACAAATTCCTTGGACAGGTTAGAGTGTTACTTGGGAGGTGGAGATCGACACACTTTGTGCTTCCCCTATTTCCATTCAAGAGTTCCAGTGGCATTCTAGAAACTTTAAAATGAACCGGTCAACATCATAAGCTTAAAAACAAAACAAGGGAGACCCCAGTAAATGAAAATCAGAGCCAGCTCCCGAGCGATGGAGATGGAATAAAACAATATCAAATTTGACCACTAAACAGAAAGAAACTGTTGATTTCAAGATTTTGAAGTATAAGGTATCTTCCCCTGTGTTTACTTGCATAAACACAGCTGTAAAGGTAAGACATATATGGAGTATGTGATGTAGCAGAAATAATATAGGCTTTGGAGACAGGCTTCAGTTTGATCCCCAGCTCTGACATCTTTGGTAATGGAACCATGGGCAAGTCTTTTAACCTCGATTGGCTTTGATGGCCACCTCTGTAAAAAGGCCAAATCATACTAACATTTCAGGTTGTTGCATGAATTAGGCAATCCACATGCAGTACACAGCATGATGCCCTGTACAAAAATAGGTGCCCAAGGCCTGGGCTGGCTTCCTGTTGCCTCTGAAGCTTTTTCTGAGTTCCACAACCCCAATGCTTGCTCTCTTGGGTTGCCACAGAAAGACCAGGGAACACTGTTTTTTTTTCTCCCAGGACTGGCTGTCTCCTCGGGCTTCTCTGGGCGGAAACAGCATAAACAACTTGCAGTGCAACAAGATGCTGCCCAGAACAACTGTCACTGAAAATGTTTAAAATAGTTCTTGCCTTTGACACTTGAATTTAACTTTGGAGTGAACTAGCCATTCATTCTGAGAAAACCTCCAGTGGACTGTTTTAATTTGCAAATACAAGGCAAGTTTCCACCAATTGTTCTTGTGGAAACTGAAATGCTGTGAATCAATCTGAGCGCAGAGGCTTCGGAGTGAAAAGTGTTCTGTTTAGTGATGTAAATTGGGTGAATCTTTCAGCAGATTTATGCCTCTGCAGCTTGTTTTCCTGCAAAATGTTTCCTCACTTACTACACTTTAGCTTGCCAGATACTATGCATTCTTGATGTGTTACGTGTGTTATTTCTCTAGCAGTTGGATGGAGAGAGGAGCTTGGATGGAGAGGCATGTGGAGGAACACCTGCCCCTGCATTGTATGCCCCTAAATTTCATGCACGAGCAGCGGCTGGGCAAAGGGACTGGACTGGGCTTGGGGTGTGCAGCTCGAACTGAATTGGAGCAAAATTAATTTAGGTTTAGGGTTAAGGTTGAGACTTCTACCTAGTGCTCTCCACAGCTAAAAACCCAGGCCTTGGAAATGTTAGAAAGACTTTGTTTTTGGATTTTCTTTTTCTTTCTTTCTTTTTTTGTATTTTTGATCACAGGGATTGTGGCCTGTGGATTAAGGGGCAGTGTTGTCTCTGAAGGGACCAGACAGCTCCAATGTCAATGGTCCTGACAGAAGTCAATCCTGAGAATGAGGTCTGGGAAGGTGGTTGTTAGAGCTAGGATGAGATGAAATTGTTTGCTCCCTCTGGCCTGAAGTCTGAACTGTAGGAGGGAGGGCCGCTGAGGGCGCCCCTGTAAATGGGAGCTGAGCTGCTGCCTGTAATGTCAGCAGGTCAAGGGTGAGGCAAAAACAGTCGTCTAGTGGGGGGCCCTGTGGAGAGACTTGAGACTATGGAATAGATATATCTAGTCTCTAAAACGTAAATTAGATTAACTAATTCCCCTGCTTAAAACTTTTCTGTTGCTTCCTGTTACAAACTCCTAATTGTGGCTGGCAGGGCTCTGTGTGATCCGGCCCTGCCTGCTTCTTGGATATCACCATGTATGACGTCTACACTTCCTCGTTGTGCTCCGGCTAGGTTGCTTTTTTCCTGCTCTTGAAACTCATCAGGCTTATTCCTACCTCAAGACCTTTGCACTGGCATCTGGCTTTGCCTCAACTGTTCTCAAGATCCTCACGTGGCTTAGGTCATCTAGGTCTTAGTTAAAATGTTACCTTCTCAGAGAGGCCTTTTCAAACTACTCAGTCCTACGTGGCCATCCCTCTGTTTCGTTTATTTTACTTTTCATCATAGCGTTCATGATCAAAATAATTTTGGGTGTTTCTTTTCTTCCTCCTTGTCCAGTTCTTCCACTGAAATGTAATTCATGTGAACCAGGATCTTGTCTATCTGTGTATTCTGTAGCCTCAGTGCCTAGAATAGTGCTTGGCACCTGGTATGTGTTTGATAAATACAAATCAAGTTTTAGAAAAGCCTTGTTAAATATTTCAGCTGTGGAGCATTGAGAATGCTTGGGGTGAGAAGGTGCAGAAAAAAAAGGATAGCTTTGACTGAGGGTGCTGGTCTTGTATGAGCAGGAAGCCCTACTCTGCTATTTACAGCCAGATTCTTAGCTGAGGTGGCAAGTGCCATCCAGGTTGAAATTGTGAAAGAATTTCCGGAAGAGTCCGAGAGAAGCATCACTACCAAGCAGGTAGGGGCTTGAGCTGTTGGGACTTGGATATTCCTATTAGTTTCCCAGGGCTGCCATAACAAAGTACTACACACTGGGTGTCTTAAGTAATAGAAATTACTGTCTCACAGACTCAAGATCAAGGTGTCAGTGGGGTTGCTTCCTTCTGAGTGAGAATCTGTTGCATGCCTCTCCTAGCTGCTAGTGATTTGCTGGTGATCTTTGGCGTTTCTTGGCTTGTGGAAGACACATCCCGATCGCAGCCTTCATCTTCACCATGGTGTTCTTCTTGTGGGTATGTCTGTCTCTGCACCCAAATTTCCCCTTTCTATAAGGACATAGTCATATTGGATTAGGGCCCACTCTAATGACCTCATTTTAACTTGATTATTTGCCAAAACCCTATATCCAAATAAGGTCACATTCACAGATATGGGATCAGGACTTCGACGTCTTTTTAGGGAACATGATTCAATCTATAATAGCAATAAAGAGAGATCTGGGGCATTCAAGTCAAAACAGCGGCTCTGGTTGACCAGATGCCCTGGTGGCTGTGCTTGGAACCCTGAGGGATCTGCTTAAAGAGAAGACCTCCAGAGGAGAGAAATGGTCCCAGGAGTTCCCTCCTGAGGGCAACTGAAACCAGAGCTGCTGAGGGCAGGGAGGGGTTTTGGAGATTGGCCTCTGGGTTTTCTGGGCTGGCTTCTCTCCAATCACAGGCCATGGTGCACTTTGTTCAGGATTCTTTCCTTTTTCAGAACAGCTCTAAGACTCAAGAAAATATCCTACTCACCATGCAGGAGGCAAATCTCTGTTTTAATTGCCTGTGCAATTAGTGCACTCCTAGTGTCAGAGTCATCACCTGGAAAAGCACTTTGGTTAATTTGAATTTAAGCGGAGCTCTGATATGACTGAGGGCCTCATCGTGAGGGGCTGGGTACCCTCTCATCATTCAACTGGCACCTGCCAACCCAGGCCTGGAGAATCTGTCTGCAGTGCTGTTTGCATCTCCTCATCCCTTCTTTCCCCTCACCCTCCTCCAGCAGAGGGGAGCATATTTGACTTGCAGGCTGAGGCTGTATTGAGAAGTCAGCTGGCTGACAGCTGCCAATCCACCAGGCAACCGGAAACAGAAAACCATGTAACAATGAACTGCAACTCAGGGGGAGCTCCTAGGAGGCAGAATGTAATTGTCTTGATTGGAATTTTCCTGGGCCACCAGCCAATCCTGCTTCCATCTTGTTGACCTGAACATCAATAATTTGTTTTTCATCATGCTGCTCAAGAGCTCTCTCCTCCTTTTTTGCCTCTTCAAACTCCCTATTGGAGCAGAGCACAAAGAGACCACTTTTCAAACAAAACTATCTTGAAATTAAGAAAAGGATGTAGGTCTCATGGCCCACAGGAGATACCACCCCCATGAACAAGTGGTACTGAGGGGATGGGAATTGAGAGCTGACCTAGAATTAACCAAGAAGGGACATGAACATCTTTGGTTCAGTGAGGATGTAGAAGGGAAGAGAAGTGGACAGAATTTAGTTCATTGTTTCAAAGCACACATTCAGTCACTTGGGATTCCAAGATATGTTCGGTACAAATCCCACTGGGCACCCCCCTAGTGAGAGGATGGGATCTGGCCCAGGGGCTGGAGAGAAAACCTAAAAGGGTCTTTTTCAGAATCAAACCCACCTTCTCCATTTTGTCAATGTCTGCACTTGTTCCTTTTTAAGGGGGAAGCTCTTCCCTGCTCTTGATGTTTCCTTCCTGTTATAAGACTCTTGTCTCTCTTTCACTGGGGAAAATAAGCTTTTCTAAATGCTGAGTTTTACAGTAGGGCCTGGGCATTACCCCTCTGTTGCCTGTCTCGTGGGACAGGTTGTTCCAAGGGTTCAGGCCTGTACTTGTTCTTTCATGCTGTAAGTCTTAACCTGGGTAGTCCCCCAACTCTGCCATATGGAGGGACTTGCCCAGGTCCACAGTGGCCATTCAGTTTGCAAACCCATCTGGTCATGACACTAAGCTACATGCTGCAATCTAGGGGACAGTTTGGTGTCCATCTGTTTTACTCTTTGTCTTATTTATCAATGGAGTTTAAAGCCAGTGTAACACAGAGCTACTATTTATTTATTGAATCTTTTTGAAGTCCCTGGACTCATTCCATTCTGTAGCAGGCTCTTATGCCACAATCCAAGGTTGAATTGAGTTAGTGGTTCTTTGACTTAACCCCATGTGAAGATGCTGGTTCTTAGACCTTACAGATGTTATCAGTTTTCTTTGATCCCTGGGTCAACTGGAAGTTGGCAGAGATATTATTTGACATGTGATCACCCCAAGGCAAAGAGGGTGAGACTGAGAATCCAGATGACAGACACAATCACTAATCTGATCACAGGGCCTTATTGACCTGATAAAGGGTGCCAGGAAGCCCATCCTTTGGATGGTGCCTGTCCTACTTGCCTACTAGCTGGCCAGACTGATGGGCACTGAGAGAGTCAGGGAGGAAGTCACCCGAGGTCTGGCCTTTCCAGACCTTGGCAAAGCTCTTTAAGAATCCCAGTGGCCTTGACAATTCAGGGGTGGCTGGTCATCACAGCAATGTAGGTTTTCTATGGGCTTTATTCACTTCCTGTCAGTGGGAGTCAGCCTCATATTAGCTTTACTGTTGTGCTTACAAATGTCAGCGTGAGTCACAGAATTTGTCAGAAGGTCTGCTTAGAGTTGTACAGGTTGGGCTTAGGGCAATGCCAGCACACACCATCATGGTGATGTAGTCATTGTAGATGTACAGAATTGTGATGATAATTTCCAGCAAATGGTAAGAATGTGCCTTGAGAAAGAGACACCTGTCCTGAATTGTCACAAAGTTGCCATCTGGAGTAGCAATATGGATGCTTACATGTGTTCAAGACAAACTTACAAACGGGAAACCTGAGACCCATAGTGGGGAAGGATTTATATCCAGCACAGATGGGCCGGCAGTAGAGGTGGCCTGAGAAGCTAGTCCTCCGCTCCTCGTGAGGGCGCCCTGCTTTTCCTCTGTGCTGGAAACCTCTCGCTTCCTTCTCGCAGTGTCTGTGACAAGGCCGACGCTCTGGCACACCTCCCTCACTCCTAATACCCCTCTTGCTGTGACGACACCACCGGCTGGCTCCACCCCTTTCCCCCCTTGTTCCTCTCCCGTCTCCGCGGCCGTACCTGTCGTGAACTGAGTGGTGGCAGAATCGCTCTCGTTGGTCCCGCGGACGGCGCTGACTGACACCTCGTAGCGGGAGCCGGGCCGCAGGGCCTGCACCGAGTATTGGCTCAGGGGAGGCTGCAGCCGGAAGGTGGTCCTCCCGCCTTCCCCGCCCACCAGGCCGTATTTCAAGAGAATGAAATCGACTTTGGCTCGAGGGGGGATCCACTCCACAAAAGCCACGGTGTCGGAGACATCTCGAACCAGGATCTGCGTGGGGCCGTCAATGACTAAGAAGGATCAAACAGAACAAAAAGTTTGAGTGGGATATAAGCCTTGGGCGTCAGCTCTCCCCTCCTTAGGGAAATCTGGTCAATCAGAGAAAGGATGGGTATTATTATTGCATTTTACAGATGAGGAATATGAAGGCTGTTTCCTGAGGACCGAATCTTGGTCTAATTCTTCTTTTACCAGGCTGTAGTTTTCAGGTGATGGCACTGCCCAGCGTGGGCAGGGGAGGGGCGCTTGTTAGCTTGAAAGAGTCGGCCCTGTTCCTTTCTGGAAGTCATGGGACAGGGAACTGAGAATTGGGTTTCTGGCATGTGTCTGCCACTCAGCTGTCACCTTCGTTGAGCCCTGAGGAGAGATCTAGGAAATGACCAGCCCATCTAAACATCCGAGACTCCCAGCTTGGTTGCCAAAGAGGTCATCACAAGTATTCAAAAGATGTCCCTGTTCAGCCACTCCAATAGCCCAGTCAACACAGCTGCTAAGACCGTTTAAAAACCCAACAGACATTTGGGTTTGTGGACATGAAACACGCCTTCTGGGTAAACTTGCTCCTCTGGCTAAAAGGATAAAAAGGACCTCAGCTTTGGAACAGCCTCTTAACGGGTATTTTTCTCCACCTGTTCTTGCATATTTCTACACCAGAAGGGGGTTGCAGTCACCTCTCCCAGGCTCTCCAGTGTATGTCCCTCATAAGCTCTGGCCTCTGGCATTGTGCAGGTCACGGCAACACCTGGAAAGCTGGTTGGTTTCCTGGAGGGCCCACCACCTGTGGTTCCAGCACCCACTTGAGGTTCTGTTCATACTGAATTAGATAATGGGGAGGTGAGGGAATGTAGAAGGAGAAAGAAAAAGAAACAGCCAAGTGAGGAGAATAGGAAATCGTCTTCTCAACTTCTCATGGGATGTCTGCATGGCCAACACACTCTTGCCTCCATGTTTTCATTTATTATTGGGACTATACCCTTCTGGCTGGAGCTGATTATTAACATTCATATTCTTTAAGGACTTGGAACGAAAACCAGAACTCTGGTTCTCTAATTAGCCTGTGCTGAACCATGCAGAGCCAGAGAATGGTGCAGCCATTCTCTACCATTCTAATACTGATATAGAAAATATTTGATCTGGAGAAAAGGGGAAACTGGGAGAAAGGGAGAGAGGGAGAGAGAGAGAGATAAAGAGAGAGAAGTGAGTGACCATGCAGAGCTTCTAGAAAGATATATGGAATAACTTGATTGCTGATGCTCCATTTTCTGGTGCAAGTCTTTTATGAGGCCCAGATGCATTTCTGGCCCTGGGGTTCCCATGAGACACTCTATGTCCTTCCAGTAAATTCTGTATTTTGCTTCAACTAGTTTAAGTAAGTATCTCTTCCTTGTTACCTTGAGAGTCTGGACTAAGGCTTGTTTCTAAATGGTCCACACTGGCCCACCTCCTACTCTGTTTCCAAAATGAAGTTTCTCCCTCAGGACTGTCTTAAGCGGACCTTGAGTCTCTCAGTTTTTCAAGGTTTAGCCTTTCTGGGCACCCCTCTCTCTTTCTGGGTTTTAGCCTAGTCCTGTCTTCTCTTAAGCTGCTTAGGGCTCTTGGTCCAGCACCAGCTAAAATGAAAATAACCAGACCACTTGGGTGCCACCTGGTTTGGAGTTAAAATGAAGTCCTGGTTTTCGTATTTGAGGTAGTAATGTGATTTAACAGAACATATCCAGTTTCTTTTCAGCATGCTACACTTGGTGGCTTTAGATAACTTAGGCCTTTCACATTTATTTTAACTTAATTATGAAATGGAAGTGGCCTCCTAGTTGCTGTGTAAGCATGATATCTGAAACATAGTAGACACTCAGTAAATGAATGCCGAGTAAATGAAATGAATGAATGATCCTCTTTATCCATGAGACAGAGAGGGAAGCATTTCAATAAACTGGAGATTTTTAGGGGGGAAAAAAAAAGGTGTCAGGGAAACGTACCTGACCACAAAAGGCTTTTGTCCTTCAACTCTTTAAGCCAGAAAACCCTAATCATAATGGATTGAACATATTAGAATGTGATTATGTAGCGCAGCGGTCTTTAGCTGCAGGAGGTCTTGTAATTTGCATTCACAAAATGGCCTGCCTAGAAGAAGGCAGCCTGGGTGCCTGATGAGGACACAGAGTTTCACAGTTGGGGGTTGGTGTAGGTCCGACCTTAGCAGAAGGAAATAATTAAACAATCGTTTCCTAAAAACAGCACACAGAATTGGGAGCCAATCATCTTTGTTGCAGCCACTCTCGGATTCTGCCCTTTAGTTGGCCACTTAGTAGCAATGTTCCATTCCAGTCAAGGAGGGATCAGCTTGCTCTCAGCTTTGGTCCTAATTTCTAAACAAGCACAAGCCCTGCTCAAAAAAGTAAACTGGAATAAATGTTTTTCCATTTCTTCATGACTCTGTAGATGAAGCCAAAATATTAAGGACATATTTTCTTAAACGAAATAATTCTGCCTAGCTTTACCACAAATTTCTAGATCTGGAATTTTAATTTCAATCTTAAGGAACTGCCAAACCAAAAAATACTGCAAATGTAAGAATGTGATTTGACTATAAAACTAAGGCAAGGTTGGACTACCTTCTCTACGTTCTCTCAACATTCTAGGAGAAAAACATTCCTCAACTGCAGTATTTTCTATCCTCTTATGAACCATCTCCTTTTAGCCTTTTGTCTTTTACTAATACTTTCTTAATATTAAATCACAGGAGTAGCTTGGGCACCCTGAAACATTTCATATCAGAAGAGGGGAAGCTGCACATGCTATTCTGGGGCTCATCACAGGACACCGCAAAGTTTGGCACCTTGGTGTGCTAAGTACTTTAAATTAAAGGAGATTGAAAGAGCCTCAGAAACAGCCCCCTAAGCAAGGTCAGTCCTCCCATCCCCCGACCCTCCTTCTCCCTTTGAGGTGGTTCACAGAAACCAGAATTCCTCTTCCCCAAGGTGGGTAATAGGAACTAGAACTCTTCCCCAAAGCAAGTTATAAAACCTAGAAAGGTCACTTTCTCCCTCCTCCCTTCTTTCTTGAAGACCCGCATTCCAGTAGGGTCCTGCCCCATAGAGGAGGTGGAGAAGGAATGCTTCACAGAGAGGCCAAGAAGAATCTGAGCAGACAGGCCTTGCTGGGTCTCTCCCTTAGACTATTACCATTAGCTCATAGCTGTTTGTCCGATTACATTTCTACATGGTTGTCCATTCTTCCCACGACCTAGGCATAAAAACAGACAGTTTCCCCCAGGTCTTTGGATCTTCATTTTTGAAGGCTCCTGAGTCACATGAAACTTTGATTAAATAAATTACAAAAACTTAGCTGGGCATAGTGGCATGTGCCTGCCTATAGTCCCAGCTACTCAGGAGGCTGAGGCAGGAGAATAACTTGAACCCAGGAGGTAGAGACTGCAGTGAGCTGAGATCATGCCACTGCACTCCAGCCTGGGTACCAGAGCAAGACTGCATCTCAAAATAAATAAATAAATATATAAGTGAGTAAGTAATGCTTTCTCTTGTTAACCTGTGTTTAGAGATAGAAGTGTTGTTGTGACCCTTATATGATGGGTGAGCAAGGACATCACACCTTTCGGCCCCACATCATCAAATGTCAATTCTTCATGTTCCAGCATCACTTTGGGGCACAGAGCTGTGGAAAAACCCCAGCCACTGGCCTTGTGGAGGGATTCCTACAGAGCCCTTTAGGTTTTATGGTTATGGGGTTTCTTCTAAAGCATACTATTGGGATCAGAACAATGGTTTGAAAACTTTCTGGGTGGTAAACTTTTTTTTTTTAAAGGACAAAATATTAAATGGATGTGCAAAATATAAAACAGATCAAAGTAGAGCCACCCTGGTTGGAGGGATGGAAGAGGGAGTAATTAGTGGTCTGGCTCCCCACCGATCCTATTCTCCAGGTACTGCCATAGAACCCTGGTGCATGAATGGAACACAAGCTACTGCCACAATCATTCCGAACCAATGTTTGCTAAACTGAGCTTAAGCCTGGGCACTTGATGCTGTTTGGTTTGGATTCAGTAGCAGAGCATGAATCACTAATCTATCAACGTGGTCTCATTACATTGTGTTGTGGTTCCCATTTCTGGCTACCTCGGCGTTTTGTCCTGGACTTAAAACTCGCTTTCCAATATGTCAATTTCTGTTTATGAAAAACACATAAAGCTATACCAATAGTCACCTATCTCAATTTCTGTTATTGACAGGGCATGTTGCTTAGCCTCTGAGTTTCAGCTCCATCAACGATAAAATGAGAACCAAAAATTATGCCAGATGCTACTTATAACTTTGGAGACATTCTTGGTGAGGTCATACATTTATACATCACAATAGCTCATTTACAGCATTGAAGTTGAACATCCTTTGTTAGCTAAGGAAACAATAAGGCAAAATATGACAATTAATGAATCAATCCTGGAAGTATAATGATCTTGAATGAGGTGAACTGTGGGGATGAAATTATAATAGACTTAAGCCATCACCTTGAACAGTGACCCAACCCATACCTACTGATTTTTGAATGACTCGTTTCCTACCACTTTTGCTTCTGAGTATGTTCTCTGCGTATATGTGTGTATACCACATATTGAGCACTTACTCTCATCAGCACAGAGCTGATCGTTGTGTGTTTTATCTAATTCCATCCTCATATTAACTTAATAAAGGAGGTATTCTTGTTTATCATAAATTATTCTTGCTTATCTGATAAAATAAATTGAGGTTTGGGAAGGTTCAGATGACTTTCTCCAAATATCATAGGTAAGCGTGGGTCAGCTCTTGCTGCTTCCAAAGCTCATGACACCAGGGGCTGACAAATGGGGCTTCTTAATAAGATCAGAAGGAATACAATGGAAATATTACAAAAGAATTGTCTCCATGGAGCGCTCTCCCAGATGTCAGTGCTTGTAAGGATGAGTAATAAGATGAGCTAAGGATCTGGTAGAGTAACTCCATCGACAGGTACCAGAATTGTCACAGCTCTGGGAGAAATTCTAGCACTTCTTTTGTCTCTCCACTCCTTGGGCAATGTTGTGGTTCTTTTTCCTAAGTGAACTAGCACATAGCTATAGGGAGAAGGGTTGGAGGCACTCACCTGTGGAGACGCTGGCCGAGGTAGGGGGGCTCCGGGCTTGTTCTTTCAGAGCCACCACATTGACAATGTATTCCTCCCCAGGCTTTAGCCCCGTCTGGTTAAAGGATGTAACATCGCTGGGGACCTGAGCAATCACTCCTCCTTCATTGTTCTGGACAGTGGGGAGAAGCAGAGAAAGGAAAGGAGAAAAGTCACTGGGAGAGAAATCTGATGAGAGAAAGATAAAGGTATGGATCACTAACTGTGAGTTGTGAATTTGAAATGGGGGCTATTTCTGTTTCCTCCATGCTGACAGCTGAGTGTGTGGGGCCAGAAATAACTCCCCATAGACTCTGTAAGAATGACACTACTCTGTGAGGATTTGGCAAATGGAGAATCAATTCTTAAGAACATTTCTTTGGCCTCTCCTGAGTTTGCTGAATTTGCCAATAAAAATTGGTCTTGAGGTAGTGTAGATTGGCTCTTGCCAAAGATCAAATGTTTGATGGTTATGGTTAACATTCATCACAGCTTTTTGGCATTTACTGTAATGAACATGCCCTTGGCTATTTAGAAGAGGGTAGTCATGTGCGTTTGTGTGTAAACATCTTTATATACACACACAACACATTTCAAATTAAGACATTCCCAGATAATTGTTTATAAACCAGAGCTAGTATTTTGATATATCTGGAGTTTCTCATGATGTTACATTCAGTGTGAATCTGTAAACGTCTTGTTTCCTCTTCACTCAGATAAATTAGGACTCTATGACACAATCAAATATGAAGTACAAAGAAAGGAAAAAGGAAGCTTAGAAAAAGATAACCCAAAGAGAAGAAGGAGACAATTTGGTAGAAGGAAATGAGACAGAGTAACTTGATAAGATTGGGTCCAGAATTTATTATCTATCTTTCTACCTTATCTTTTCCTCTCTCTCTTTCTCTCCATATACTTTCTATGAGTGTCCTTCAAAATGGAGGAGACAAGAGAGCCTTTTTTGGGGGGCCTGCCATTCTCCCCTATTCTGTGGCCTCTATTTATGGTACTCAGGGTGCCTAATATATAATTTATAGCCATACTCTTATAAATCAGTGTGACAAATGCCTGCCAGTGGTCTCAACCTACAGGTCACAACAGTTATTAAACCATGTGCCCATCCATTTGGCCTTGGCATTCCCTGGTCAGACTCTCTTTTAATTAGAGTTAGTTTTGCATATTGGATATATGTAACAGGAGAGCCTGGCATAATTTTTTTCTTCTGAGCAACAAGGTGACATGATTGTTTCAATTGTTACATAACTCAGTTGCCTGCCATACCTTATTTATCACTGTAACTCAGATAAGACATATTTGTATAGATGTCTGTTTAGATATCTTTACCTTGCTGTGACGTGACTATGGTATGACTGTATCCACATAAGAGAATGGGGCATACAGGTTTAGTGAACAGAGCCCCAGGATAGGAGGTGGAGACCAGGTACTCATTTTAAGCCTGTCACCCAACTAGCTGTATGATGTCCTTCAAGTTTTCTGAATCGTAGTCTCTATAAACTAAACTAGAGGTAAAATGAGGGGTCGTACCCTGTGAACTTGAAGGTCTTTTGTAACTCCAACAGTTCATGGCTCTAAGAATTTTGAAGTAAAAGGATGGTGAAATCATAGTCTTGTTAGCCAAAAATGTGTCATCTGTCATTAAGTCTGATGAATGGCTGAAAAAATACTCTTTGACGTTGAAGAATAAAGACAGAGGGAAGGAGTATGATTGAGCTTTATATCCTCATGAGTGGTATACTTAGAGAGGACATTTGTAGTGTCAACAAATTCTGGAAATCTAGAGCCAGGCATGCACCTCTGGCAATTTGGAAAAGTTAGTTTCACAGTTAAGAAAATAAGTAAAATACTGCTTTAAAGAGTAGAAAGGAATCTTGGGATACTTTAAAAGTCACAGGCTAATCATATAATCCATAAAAAAATGTTGCTAAATTAAGAGGTTACAAATTTATTATGAATAACCCAGGAGAGCCAAGGTGTTTTTGTGTTATGCCTGTAACCTTTAGAGATTGATGCCATGCAAGCTGACTCTTCTTCGGTGCACCTCTCTGCACAGAACGAAGCTTTTGGCTGATTATGTGACTGATTCAGTTTGGCTATTCTTATGTCCTAAAGAGAAGCCCCAATTTTTTGAGGGTCTGATTTTCATACTTACTAAAACCATGGCTCATCAGACCCCAGAGTTATCTCAGCAGAGAGCTGGAGTTGGTGGCTGCTTCCTGCATCCTCTATTCTGCAAGGCCAGGGTGCCATGCTCAGGGTTACTCTTGTCAGTGGGTCCTTTGCACATATTTGTCACAGAAATGTTCTATATTCCAGACACCCACAACATGCCATATTGTGTCTTTAATGGCATGGAGAGAGATACTGGGTAGTGCTTTCCTTGCTGCCCCTGATTCCAAGCTAAAGGTACAAAAACTCCAAATAAGTCTGTTTGGCAGTCTGACGGGTGAGTGTTACCTTTGGAATGAAGCTGATTTCCCACCCATCGAAGGAAAATGAGAAGGGCTCCCACTGCACCTCCACGGTGGTCTCTGTGATCGTCTTAAATTGTAGCCCTTGAGGAGTGGAGAGATCTGAAACACAGCAATGTAGGTGACAATGTCATGGCTAACCCTTGGGACAGAGAGCATTGCCTGGTGCTTTGTCTTGATGGATTCCCTCCACGCCATGGGTGTTCGGTGGTGTTTGGTGGACAATCCCAATCTTACTGCAGACACAGTGAGTCCTATGGGCAGGATCAGCCTACCCCATTATGGCCCTAGTGCTTGGTGTTGATAGAACATATGGGTTAACTTAAACAGAAGCTATATAAACAATGTTAATGCTTTGTATTACATTAATAGCTTACTATTAAAATGCAGAAATCACTTTCCTTATCTTACTAATGTGGTAGGTCTTGGCATTTCATATGTAATATAGTGCCTTTTTCAGAGGACTTGGGCATTGGCAGTATCTTTAGAAGCTTTACAGGATTCCTGGGAGGCACTATGATGGCTTCTATCAGTGTGCTCATTGTGCATTCAGGAAAATGGAGGCACCAATTGGAGCAAACCAATTTCAGGATTAATGCTAAAGTGATTTCCTTGATTGTCTGATGTACATTGAGAGTATTTTGTTTAGCTCAAATCACTAAGTCTAGGATGGTCTAAATTTTTCACTTCATGTATTTCCCTCTTTTCCTTCCACCACTGCTTCTCCCCCAACCACACAGACACATACACATGCGTAGGTTTTGTGAGATGGAAGTGTGCTTGTCCTAATGGAGTTCCAGTTATCAGCCCTAAAATATGACAGCATGACTTTTCTCTGTTCTCCAGGAAGCCTGCTCCCATTTTAGCTTTGCCTCTCATGGGCTATTCCCATTGGAAAAAGGACAGATTTTCTTATCCTTCCTGTTTGGAAGCGTTCTCATGCTTTTTGGTTGGAAAGCAGGACTGACTGTGAACCCACTTGAAGGTGTGTCAGGTGGTTTACATGATTTTGTCCTTGTCACCTGGGAGCGTGCCTGAAGGGATGCCCTGAATTGGCATAATAAATGCCACAGGAGATGGAAACCTCATCACTGCGCGTGCATGTGGATCAGAGAGGAGACGCTTGGGAGTCAGGCCAGGCACTTAGGGCGGTGACTCATCCCAGAGCAAGGTGGGGAAAAAAGCAGATGGTGCATAATCACTGCATAATCACTGCAGACACTTAAAACCAGTTCTCAGGCACCAGCAGAGGAATTCTTTTTTAAAAAGGTCCAATATAGCTCACGCCTGTAATCCCAGCACTTTGGGAGGCTGAGACAGGTGGATCACAAGGTTGGGAGATCAAGATCATCTTGGCTAATACGGTGAAACCCCATCTCTACTAAAAATACAAAAAATTAGCTGGATGTGGTGGCAGGCACCTGTAGTCCCAGCTACTTGGGAGGCTGAGGCAGGAGAATCGAGTGAACCCAGAAGGCAGAGGTTGCAGTGAGCCGAGATCATGCTATTGCACTCCAGCCTGGGTGACAGAGGCTCTGTCTCAAAAAAATAAAAATAAATACAAAAAAAAAGTCAAATGTAAGCAGAGATAATTATAGGCATATTAACGGAGTCAGCACTACTCATCTCATAGCGGAGTCCAAAATTATAACAGAGTTTCTGTCACCTGAAAAACAAGGGGACCAGATGACTTCTTAAATTCCTTCCCCTCTGCCTGTCTCTGTCCTTCCATTCTTCAAGGCGCAGTTCAGCCCTGGAGCTTCCATGAAGATTTCAAGGCTAACTCTTTTTACCTTGACCTTTTCCGTTTCTGAACTTCCATGGCATTTGTTACCCAAATACCATCTTACCTACACAAAATGGTCATAAGTCCCAATTCCTGGCCCAGGGGCTTTCTGAATTCTAGAAGGCTTTTGTTTTCATGGTCACTTCTTGTTCTATTTCTTGTTATTGCCAGAAATCTCTGTATCACTCATACCTTATCTCCTTTGAATGTTCTCTTCTCTCTTCCCAGAATTTAATCAGATACAGCCGTTTTTCTTGATCTCTCCAAAGACTTTCCACATAAGGCACACAGGCATTTGTGTGCATGCAGGTTTTGCAGTAGACTTGGGGGGATGAGAACTTCTCTTGCCTAAATTCCTCTGCCTGGCTCTTGAAATTCTAAAACAGGCTTATTTTATCAATTTAAGAATTCAGAGGGGTATAAAGAAAAATAAAATAATTTTGTCTCTTATTGATACAGTCAGTGTTAATAATTGGTATGTAATCTTTTATATTTTTCTGTGCTTTAACATATACAAAATATAGATACATATCCACAGAAGTTTCCTGTTATGTATTTAAAAGCTGTTCATTTCTTATGGAGAGAAGTTTAGCTTGTTTTCTGTCTCCATCTCTCTCTCTTCCCTGTGAATCCTTCTAAACTATGCTTAGGGCTTCAACTTTTATAACTAAAATGAACTATTAAGATATTTCGCTAAATAAAAGATCTGGAGGAAATTATGCCACTGCTCTATCAGGAGAAGGGGATGTTATCAGCTGTGGTTTTAAATAAGATTTGTTCTCGCTTTGCTATACACTTATGGTTTAGCACTTGCTTCTATTTCATATCTCCTTGTTTTGCATCCCTAACTAGATTCAATGTCTGTAGATGTCTCATACTTTCCTTGACTTCTAATCAGAGTCTAGCTTATAACAAGTCAGTACTCAATAATTAAAGTACTTTTTGTCCTTTTGGTTCTATAATTTATGAAAGCTGCCTGAATTTGGAAACTCTCTTATTCGGAAGTGCCTTTCTAATGATGTACCCTTTCTAAATGGGTCACATCTGTAGCCCTTCCCCTCAAGGGCAATGACTATTCCAGGCGTCCCTGAAGAATTGAGAAAAGACGCTACTATCATGAATGCCCATGATCTCATGTAGGAAAAAAGAAAAATGAAGCAGGACGGGGAAATGGTACGTACGGGTGGCCACCTTGGCAGTGATGGGAAGGCTGAGGATGTTGCTAATGACAGCGTAGACGCTGATGTTGTAGGTGAGACCTGGCTCCAGCTCCGTGATGATGATACCACTCCAATCTCCAGGCACCCGCTGCTGGAGCTGGAGGCCCCCCAGGGCCGTCGGCTGGTAAGAGATCACATATTCCGTCACTGCCATCGGCCCGTCCCATTCCAGCTCAATGGACCTGTCGCTGATACCAGCCACTCGCAAGTCCTCTGGAGGGGCAACTACCGGGAGGCAATACACAGATAGCATGAGTTCAGAGGATTGCCTTCCCCAACCTGGACTCAACTTTCTTCCTCACATCTCACCCCCATGCCATGTTTATATGTTCTGCTGGGCTCAATGGCTTTAAGTGATTCGTAACTTCCTTTTTGGGCGGGCTCTTGTCTTTTTGGTGCTTAGTACCCCAATCTCCATAAGGTCATGAACTAGTCATGCACTGGAGCCAGCTGCTACTGGCTTGTAAAAGCTGATTTTTAAATTTTCAGGACCATTTCAAGACTGTTGTTGAATACAACCATTATTAAAGATTCAATTTTAGAACCTAACAATTAAGTAAATTATATTAAAAACAAAGGTAATAGATACTCAAAATTTATCACTTACAAATTATTTGACTACATTTTAATATTATCTATACCTTTAAGATAATTTATGTGTGTTCTATCTGTCTAGTGGAAATATTCTGATTGTACTTTACTACACATCTGTTTCCAGCTCCATATTTAGTGACGTCATATTGGTAATTGAAATTGGCCGTGGAGATAGTATTTACATCATGGAAACTGGCAAATGTTACACAACAGGGCTTTTAAAATATTTTCCTTTAGAGAGCGAGGTTGTTAGATATTTAACAGCACACCACTGGCCAAAATTTTTGATGGTTTAATAAGTTATTGTCATCAGATTACGCTGGGAGCCAATTTCTGACTCGGCAAGTGGAAATAAAAACTCATTCCTGATTATCTTGCAAATTATGAGAAGCCAAAACATTAAGTCCTGGATACCGTGGCCTGAGGAAGACACTCAACAACCCATTATTGTAGAATTTTCCCTTTTAAAAGAAGACCACTTATGTTCTGAAAGAAATCTATCTTGTGTTAAACTAATTTTTATTAGCCTTGATCTTGGAGATGATGATAAAGAAATATTCTTGAGGACTTTGCTTTTCTTTCTTGTCTGATTCCTCAAATGCTACTTGGAGTCACCAAAGGTTAAAACACATTGGAATAGACTTTTGTGTATTATTGTCTTGGAAAGTGAAGATTCACCAGTGTTGTGGCCATTAAATAATTAAGCCTTTAAGATTAACTAGGAGGCCACCTCCAGTGTGTCTGTAATTAGACCTGTCCCTAGATTAAATCAAAGATCAGGCCAATATTTAAATGGTTGTTATTAACTTATCAATGTATATGTAGTGGAGGATTCAATTAGTTGAAGAGTTGTTAGGTTTTGAATTTCTCCCCTTAATCTCACCCTTCCCCTTTACAAGCAGATAATCTGAGACCAGCTGTGTTGTGCAGGACGATGTGAGTGGAGAGTGCTGTCTCCTCATTGTACTCACACATGCCCCCTCAAAACCTCAGCAAAGACAGATACCAGGAGCCCTTTAACAGATCCAGATTCATAGGATAAAATCAGCAGCGTATATATGCACTGTTGGACATTTGCTTCAATTGCTTTTGCCCAAAACCATTAATCGAATAAAACAGTCTAGAAAGCAGAGCTTCCTTGAGGATGGCAAATGTTGACCAAACCAAAAATTTTAAAAATGTTTAAAGTTTATAAAGCTAAAGAAGTGTAAATGAAATTTAAACTTTCAAATAATGTTTTATAAACTAGATCACCTATAGTTCTGACCTTATTAAAGCTTTAAATTTCACTAAGACCTTTGGGACAGCCTATTCAACACATACAGAATGACTCCTGGGCCATGAGGAGAAGAGTTGATATTTAGAACCTGTCAGGATTTTGCATGATTATACTGAGCATTTTTTATGCACCAGGTACAATGATAACCACTTTTACGTAGATTATTTCATTTCATCCTCTTACCAACACTATGGGATTAAGGTATCATTATTACTTCTGTTTCACAGATGACAGAATTGGGCCACACAGTCAGCTAACATAGAAGCTAGAATTTGAATGCAGGCAGAATGACCATAAAACTTCTTAGCCGATATACAATGCCACTTTATGTTTACATAGCATTTCATAGCCTATAAACTATTTTCAGATATAGCGTCTAACTAGAATCTTAAAAAATATTTAATAGCAGCCCTATAAAGTAGTTCATGTAGACATAATTGTCCCAGATTTACAAATGAGGAAACCGAATCCCAGGTTCAGGGATGTGCCAAAAGTCGGAGAGTTGGGTCATAGCAGAACTGACTCTGAAACCCAGATCTTCTACATTTATCATTCCTTCCCCTACAATTTAGATAGCAGGTTACAGATTGCACCAGATACCTTCTTTCATTTGTACATGGCCTCCCAAAGTAAACTATCTTAGGAGTAATTCAGATGATCTTAATAAATGTGATCTCTAGACTTGTGCTCATCATAGAGGTAAGAAAATTCTTTTTAAACAGGTTCTCTAGTGCCTGCCTCTGTGATTCAACACATTAACTCCGGGTTTCCTATGCAGGACTTTCATCATAGTGGCAGAAATGGCCACTCCAAATTTCAAGTCACCAACAATTATTTTGGAACAACTCGGTGTATTCCTTTTTACTTCCTTCTTCAAAGCTAATATTGACAATAGAGAGTGATCTAAGAAGAGCATTTTGGGATTTTAAAGCAAAAAAAGAGGTGCAGAAGGATTTTTTTTTTTTTTTTTTAAATCTTGGCAACTTAGCTTGAGGCCTGAGCCTGGTGGTAAACATTGCCTTCACTTCTGACTGAGAAAGCAGCAACTGGTGTCATTCGTGGTGGAAGTGGTCTTGACAGTGGTGGCTCGATGGAGGAGACCACCACCACTTGCACTGTAACTTAGCAGCAGGTATATATACTAGGCGTCAGTAATCCTTATAAAAAAAAATTCTATAGAATGATACTGCAGACTATCAAAGAGCTTCATGCCTTAATTCAATGAATTTATGGTGGGTGTAAAGTATTCTTGGCCTTACTTTCTTTGAGGTGTCAACTTTGAAACTTTTGGAAGGCAGGCTGTTAAAGAGAAATAAACTGTGGCTTGAGGAATCAGGGTTGCTTATCTGCAAAGATGCCATGCTGTTTCCTTTTTAGATCTTGCATAAATGTTGCACTTATGTGGTGAGAGCAGTTGGAATTAGTTCCATGATGTGTCTTACTCCAAAGAGCAAGTAGTTTCAGGTGCCAAAGTTTGGGCTGGCTGCAGTGTGACAGAGCAAAGGCTGACACTGATGAATCTCCGCGGGTCTGACTGAAGTCCAGGGAACAGCTTTCTGGATTGTCTCAAGACCCTGCTCTGATGGTTCTTTTATCCTGCTGGCTCCGGGGGAGTTTTGGCCAGCTCCCTGGCCAGCCCCCGCACTAACCACCATCAGTGGGGGCAGATGTGGACAAATGGTTGAATGTACTTCTCCACCCTACCTCTGACACCTCATTTTTAAAAATCATGTGATGGGGGCTCAGCTTTCATATCAAAAGGCTACTTCTTTGTGTATGTGGCTTTAAAATTTTTATTTTTCAATTATATTCTACTTTGCATTCCAGAGAAGATAAAAGAGTGCTAGAAGCTGGTAGGAGACCAGGATTCTTTTTCTTATTCTGCCATTAATTAGCTGTCTGGCTCTGGGAAAATCTGTCTCACTGACTGCTGCTTTTTAAATCTGTAAAGTGAGAAGCTTCTTTCTAAGGCCCGTTTTAAGTTCTCATATTCATGAATGTTTTGTTCTATTATCTCTACATGGGCAGAGAACGGAGGCAGAAGTCTTGAGATTTTGTCCCATGGCATACTATGAGCACAGATCAAGGCTAGGAGTCAAATGTGGTGACTTTGCCAACACTATACAATTGTGCTCAAGCGCCGTGGACCTAGGGGGCCTCAGAATGAAATCTACACAGTGGGCAGCTATTTTCTGTGCCCTTGCCAAAGAGAAAAGAATGCCTTGTAAGGAAATATATTTTGTGGCTCTCAGGGTTTTCACCTTCCTAACCCTTCTCTCTCCTCTCCTCATTCCTGTGGGCAATGGGAATATCATGCTGTGGTGTGTGTACCTGGCCAGGAACGTCAAACAGTAGATAAATAGCTCCTTCTCCTACAGCCTTTTCACAAAGAGCAAGCAAAGTAGCACTTTAGATAATGACCTAGATACTTCTCTCAAAGAGACCTGTAGCACTTGGTTTAAAAAACAGGCCTTAAGAGCAGACCTTCTGCAAATGAGTGCTGGCTCTTAGGTTGCTATAGGAACAGATGGAGATTATGCAACTGTCCTTTTTCACATGCTTTGGGAACCTGTAAAGTAATTTATCTGGGCCTATTGAAGTGTTCCTCAAGCAGCACAGAGGTAACATGTTGTAGGTAACGTGCTCATAGTTTGGACTTAACCCAGTTGTAGCTATGCTAGCAGCTGCTGCGTCTTCCCTAAGGTAGCCAGGAGGGTTTATCACCGGTTCAGTGTAAGTCCTGGATTAGATGAAGATTTTGTTTGCAAATGAACCCATCCTTGTAGAAAGGTAGGGTCAAGAATGTAACGGGTATGTAACAAGAATGTTCAGACCACCAAAGATTAAGCCTACTAAGAAGCATGTGGGCTACAGAATAGCATTAACACAGAGATGGCCCAAACTGACCCTGGGCATCCTCCAGATGGGGCATCATGGAGCCTGATCCTCTGGATGGGAACTGGAGCTGTGTTTCAGCCTGGCTTCCCAGAAGGTGCCTGGTGATTTTGGATTCAGAAAAAATAAGGCCTAACTTCTGCTTGAATTTCACTTTGAGGTAATTGGTGTGGTGACTACATTTTTAGAAAGATATTTCAATTCAGTAAACAAAATTGGGAGGCTAAATGAAATAATTGGATATGGAAAAAGTTAAGGAACATTAAATTTTTTCCTAAGCAGTGCATTGTTGTTGTTTTTCTTTGCATTATTACCATCGATTTTGAAAATAATTTAAGTTGAAGTTACATGTGCAGGAAAGTTGTCTGCCAGGTAGGAGGGGGTAACCCTGGCGCACAGAAGGCTGGCGAACCTGGCTTACCAGGCTTCCCCTTCCACTGATGTCACATGACTGATCGGAAGATTCCTAAAATTGCCCCAGTAGAGGGTTTAAAATGTTTATTTATTTATTTATTTATTTTAAATCATCTCAGTGGGCCCTCTGAGCTCAACCACTTAATCTGTACTGTTTAAAACTGATTTAGTCAGAAGAGGATGAGCTATTGTGAAATAATAAAAATAATTTGATTTGCATCAAAAAGACAATCAGCGCCAATGAGATACTGATTTTTTCTCACTGTTGGGCTTAGATCCCCATTTTAGGACATCACCTTTCTATTGGCTTTGACAATGAAGACTATACATATACAGGGTTGGTTCTAATTTGCTAGACAGTCATCTGGAACAAAGTGAGTCATATTCTTTTAATATTCTGTACTAATTGTTAGAATGTTGTTGTCCAGTGTCCTTAGTACTTTATTCCTGTTTACGTTTAAGTCCTTGTCTACAAATACTCTCCCCACTAGAATCATTTCATAAATGAATAACACCTCGCAATCTGTAAGCTCCAAGATAATCAGAGAGCCTTACAGACTAACCACCATCTCTTGCAGTAGCATTGTGGAAGGCATTCCTGGAATATGGCAACTGGTAAGGGAGATAATTTTGAGTGGATGGAACACTGGGATCCCTCAGAGTTAGAGAACGGCCTTGGCTAAGGTGGTCCCATGACCTCACTATCTACCCTCCCCCACCTCAAGCTCAGTGAGGTGTTGTCATCATTGTTACCATTGCCTAGTCTCAGGGGTAACAATCCAGCTCTCAGCCTGAACTTGACCTTTTGCTATTTCCATTCTTTATCCCCTTTAATCTGCCTCATCAACTATTATTGACTCAAGAAATCAGCTCTCTTGGAAAGCAAATGAGTCCAACCCAATTGGTAATTATTTTGGCTAAAATTCACCTGCCCACTCATCTTTCTTCCCCAGCTAACTGGAGGTATCCAGCTAGTTTGCTGGACCACCCTTGCCAACACCCCAGAGAGTTCCCCTGCCTACCTGCTGAGCAGTCAGGGCCCTGGTAGCCCTCTTCACAGATGCAGAGCCCCTCCTCACAGTGTCCTCGCCCACTGCAGGCATTCAGACACTGCCGCTGGCTGCAGTCCTCACCAACGTAGCCCTCCTCGCATAAACAGGTACCGTTGGCACATCTCCCCTTCCCCGAACAGTCCCCGGGACACCTCAGTTCCCTGCAGTCCTCGCCAGTGTAGGGCTCTTCACAGACACATTCCCCGTCCACGCAGAGCCCCCGGGAGCTGCAGTCTGTCGGACACCGCAGTTCGGAGCAGTCATCCCCGCTGTACTCGCTGTCACAGATGCACTGGCCATCCACACACACCCCCCGGCTGGAGCAACCCAGCGGGCAGTAGGGCTCCGAGCAGTTCTTGCCAAACCAGCCTTCGTTGCAGATGCAGCCACAGGACTCAAAGCTAAAGTTGCCGTGGCCACTGCAGTGAGGGATATAGTCCAGTTGTCCTGGAATGGTCAAGGAGAAGGTCAAAGAGCAGCAGTGGCCTCTCCTGTCAATGGTGCTGGGGAAGGATGGGCAAAGACCTCTACTCATTCTCTGACCAGATTTCTGTTGCTGAGAGTGAAGCTCAACATAGTTTGGTACACATTCAATTTAATAAATATTTTCACCTAATATGGGCTTTCTGTGCCTAGCACAGGGCTGGGGGCAAAGGTGAATGAGATCTTGTCCCGTGTTCTCCAGGAGCACACCTTCAAGGTGTCTTAGGGTGGGTTCCCTAGAAGCAGATCTTCGATAAAGATTCATGTAAAAGTGATTTATTGGAAGGTGTTCCCAGAAAAATCTGGTAGGGAAGAATGGAAAATCGGGAAGGGAATGTGCTCAAGCCCAGGTGCGTTATCAAGTCAAGTCCCAGGAGAGTCACTTGGGTTCAGTCCTGCAGGGTGCTCTGGGCAGTGCAGGTCACATCTCATTGTGGGTTAAGGTCTGTCCCTTATGGCGTGCGAATCCCCCAGCCCCTCATTCTCTTTGAGCAGTCCAAGAACTTTCCAACAAACTGAGGACAGCCCTCTGACAAGGACTTCCAGGTGTTGGCTATGGGGACTGTGAGGGACCTGAGGGGCTGTAGATTGAGCACTGAGTCCACTGTTTGGAGAAAGGTCTTATGTGTTACAAACCTGTCCTGCTCCCTCCCTGCCTGCCAGCTGACTCCCTCTGCTCATTCATCAAAACCCAGCGCCAGGGTTACTTCAAAGGCTCCCCAGGACCTTGCTCTCATTTAGTTACTGTTTGCTATGACCCCTTTAGGATTCTATGCATGTGTCTGTCCTAGCCCTTACTGTGGGATAACTACAGTGGCTAATTTATCTCCTAGCATGACTCAGGTAAACGTATTAAACAAATACAAATGGAGTACCTGCTGGCATCCTTCTTTGCCCTCGGCCCTGAGGATATGAAGTCTAGTAAGTTACCTCCTTTTTTTAATTCTGCCACTTCATGCTGCCCCCATGAAAATATACTTTACTGACATTACTTAACTTAGCTCTTCCTTGCGGATTTTTTTTTCCATGTTTGCTAGGAATCCTGGTGAAAGGCTGGTAAAAAGTCCATTTATAGAAGCCCCAGCTTCCTGAGCTGCAGAGTCCATGCCCATGGAAACCTAGGACTTTTCCCTATTCTCCTGCTCCATTAAAAAGACCAAATGACCTGACAGTTGTCACTGAAGCACAGGAGGACTGGACTTGCTCTCTGTTCTTCAGATTGTTTATTCATAGCACTGGTTATGGGGAGGAGAAGGAGGTGAGAGAACCCATGAAATATTCTAGTCCTCAGTGGATGCCTCTTATCTTGCTGTGTCTCAGGGTGAATGTGTGAATGTGAATCTGCAGCTGTGGGCCATCCAGGCACTGTGAAAATTTCACTCTGCCACCTCTTGCTTTCATCCTGTAAAAGCCTTGAGATCATGGACCCTCAAGGTCCATGCTTGAACTCAAGACAAATGCCTCTTGTCATCAAAGAACTGAATTGCATGGGGTCTAAGGTACCTTTTGGGAGAGAAAAGCTGTGCACAGAGGGGTGCAGACACAATTCCGACTCACTGGGGTCAGCTGATAACAGCTATTGCTTATATGGTACTTACAGAAGCCAGGCTGACGTCCGAATAGGTGCTTTTATTGTTAATAACTTCTCGTTGCTCTAGCCTAGCGCCATTTGTAGACGAGGAAAGGAAGGCGCAAATATGTAACTGCTTAGGTCATCAGCTAGGAAGCAGGAGAGCCAGGATCTGAAGTTGGGAATTCTGACTCTGAAGACTTAATTATGTCTTGCAGAGAGGTAAAGATAATAACTCATAAGGATTGCTAATTAGGGGGTGGGCAGTGTTAGAAGTAAATCCCCTGAAATTTGAGCCTTTTGGAGGGTACACTAAGCTGCATGAGTTGTGTGTGAGAGCATGTGCATGTGTGTGTGAGTGTGTGTGTGCATACGCTTCTGTGTGCTTATTGAGGAGGCAGGGAGAAGATGAGGACAGGTCCTCTGAGACCTTAATGGCTATCATCTACTCAGATGGGAGAAAGGCTGCGATTGAGTGAACAGAGCACCTGCATTCTCTAGTCCCTCAGGTTAACATGGATAGATATCAATTCAACAGCCTGTGAAAACCAAAGATGAATGCAGACAGACATCAAATTCCCTGCTGGCCATCGAAGTTGTTGTGCTGAACCGATGCACCATTACCTGACTCATCCCCCCAAAATCAGGTTAATGTATTTCAAACTGGCTACGCAGTGTAGAGAATCCCTGAACTGAATCCCTCGGGAAGAACTGCACTTAGATCTTAGAGACATATTAACTGGCGGCTACAGACTAGGGCACTTTTTTCCCTTTGACCGTGTGAAGAGATGCTGGGGTTTTGCTGGGAGTGCATTTTTGCTGGAAGTGCATTGCTCCTTCTGGTGCACTCTCCCTCTCTGCGCAGCCCTCTCCTTCCCCTCCTGAGACCATGCTGTAAGCTCCCAGACTCTACCTGTGGCAGCACTCTCTTGGCAGCAGTTGGCATTGCACTGGTCTCGCAGCACCGACACCTCCCTCTCCAGCATCTCGATCCGGCTCAGCAGCTCCTGCAGCACCTGGGCTGAACTGGCACATGGGCAGACCTTTTTGGGGAGGTTGATCCTGTGTGTAAAGGTGACCTGGCTCTCGTGGTCTGAGGTCTGGCCTGTGTACTCTGCCAGAGTCTCGTCTTCTGCACTCACCTCCTGCTCAGCAGAGGCCTCCAGCCCCGAGGAGCAGAGGCTGTCCAGGGGCACGTTAATGCTGTACACATGGTTGAAGACCACAGGCTGCTCTTTGCTGGATGTGTTGTAGTTGGCAATGCCCCCCTCCTCCTCCATTGACTGTCTCTGCACCCTTTCTGTGGTGACCTCCAGCTGACACTCCGAAGGCTTGAGCATGGAGCCCAGAAGGATCAGGTTGACGCCAATGAGCATGTTCTTCAGAACCACTGTTTCCCCATCTGCCCCCATCCTCTCAGCCAGAGCTCTGGGTTCAGGACCAGCCTGCAGCACACAGCATGGAGTTGTGCGAATCTGCAAGAGAAACCAAAGAAAGAGACAACCTCTGAGACCTATGCCTTGGCACCATGGCTCTGCACAAGCCTATAAAGCTCAGGAATAGGCAGCCAGAGATTTTCAAGGAGGGGACATCAGGAAGGGATAGTGGCTGCCAAGGTCGTAAAGTCCCAAGACTTTGTTCCCTAGAGGACTGGATCTCTGAAAATGGTCACTGCTTCTGCATATGGCTGTTTTGTTTTCTCAAAAGGCTTGTCTAGAACACATGGGTCTGGTCCCATGGTGGGCAAGTGGTTCCTGGAGGAAATATGAGGCTGGGGGCTGGGGCCCTGTGGATGGGCTGTTCCTCAAAGGAGAACTCAGAGTTTCTTTTCACTTCCAAGTGAGAAATTGGATGAAGGGGACCAGGGAGTCTTGGGTGTTCTCTCCTATTTCCTCAGACTTTTAGTACAAAGGGACCCTGCCAGCCACTTTAAAAGAACTTCATGAGTTCCTTTCAGCTCATCTATTCATACAAGTTGTCTTCACAATAACCAACCAGGCAAATAATATAGCTCCAGGTAATTGTGATTGTTAATAATCCTGGGGTACATTTGTGATGATCTTGGGTTGTGTGAGCTGAACTTTCTTTTAATCTTCTTGTTAGTATCATCCCCGTGCTCTGTGACCACAAGGTGCTTTTCTTCCAAGTTCCTGTTTAAATTGCTAAAATAATGAATTAGCTCCTCTGCTGGTTACCTAGTCACCAAGAACCATAGAGTACAATAAATTCACTGGGATGCAAATCAATTTTACAGAAATCATATTCCCTTTGTATTCTCTATGCAAAGCAGAAAAGAGATTTACAAACCTTGGTTCTAAACGTTAGAGCTACTAAGTAGATTAAGGACTAAAGGACCAGTGAGTGTGACTATGGGTCTGAGAAGGTCACAACTAGAGTTTACTGCATTTACTCGGTACAGACTGTGCTGTGCCCCTCACACATGAGCTTACATGACCCTCAGGACAACCTCATGATGGGACACTATAATTAGCCCCATCTTATAATGGAGGATGTTCTGCCAAGAGAGGTTAAAATTTGAATGCAAGTCTGACTGACTCCGAAACCTGTGTTATTAGTTACCAAGTCCCAGGGCCTTTCTTGAAAAGAGTGTTCCATTTTCTCTTGTCTTTCATGGAAATTGTATAATATCTAAGATCTTCCCAGGAATATTGCGATTAGAAAATTTTGCTAGTATCAGATTCAGTGTTCTTTTCTCCATGAGCATTCTTCTCTCATCATTTCCCTCCTGCCTCCTCAGCTCTTCTCCCAAATGCAGGCTGAATTCATGCCCCTCTCTTCCAGGGCCCCCCTCTGCAGCGCTTGCCATGTTAGACTGTGGTTTTCCTTTGCCTGCTTCTCCCCACCTGGACTGCTAGGTCCTTGTCAGTCAGACCCTGTCTTAGCTGCAGTGTGTGAGCTTTGCTCCAGGATGGCGAGAGTGCTCAGTGCATAGTTGTTGAATAAGTGGATAAGTGGATGCCTGGAAGGATGGAAAGATGAATTCATGAAAAAATGCCCAGTGAGCAAAAGGTTAAATCATTCTCCAACTAATTTAATCCCTCTCCATTATCCTCAAGTTAGATACTGGTCTGTTCAATTTCAGTTCTGAACAATGCCTGAGGGTTGATTTTATTAGGAGCAACCTGTATTAGTGCCTAGTATAAAATCATGCCTTATTATTCAGCCCTTACATTATATACTGGACTATATTCTGTCCCTGCTGGGACAGGGAGCAGAGCAGAGCTGTTGAGACTATAGACTCTGGAGCCTGTAGATTCTCTGTTGAGGTTCAAGCCTCAGCACTTTCATTTTCTAGCTGTTGGAAGATTACTTAAGCTCTCTGTGCCTCACTTTCCCTGTTTATAAAGTGGAGATAATGGTACTTATCTTACAAGTTTGGAGTGCTAATGAAATTATTATCTGTATAATATTTACCCAGTAACTGGCATTAACTAACATAAATAAATATGGTCGACAAGTGGAATAATTGTTCTGGTTCCTCCCCTAGTCAAGGACTTCCCTGAAATCACTGGAACATATGAAATGTCTTATCCATTAGTGCACAGCAGAAAAGCCCGATCCTTAACATAGCCTTGTCCAAAGATGGGTGAGATCCTTGGGGCAATGTGGGAGATGGTGATCTGTTGGTGACTTCCAAAGGAGGTAAATCAGCCTTGGGGATAAGTAGCGCGACATGTCAGAATCAAATTGCCCTCCTAACTGTAAGCTCCACCCAAGCCCCTCTCATCCAAGGCTCTATGTGCCTTGCCACTTTCAGATCCTCTAGGCATTACCTTCTTGAGTATCACTTCTGCAGTCATATCATTGAAAGTCTCCCAGGTATGACTGCTATCAGTCATTTACATACAGAAGGGGTCTTACCTGTCTTCCTCATTAAACCAGAGTTTGTTTATCTGACTGATGTGGATATTGCTGAATAATTCTTCTGGGAATTGCAAAATGATCACATAACACCCCATAGCACTTAACAGCTTTTTTGTACATAGTTGACACTCAAAATAAGTGAATGAATAAATGACATTATCAATGAAAAGGAAGACGAGTGACAGGGAAATTAAGAGAGAAAAATGTTAGGTCCTACACTTTTAGGTCCAAATTGACAGCTACAAAATTACACAGAGAGGGAAAGGTGCAGCTTTATGTGTGAAAAACACCAAATATTTTAGTCAGTAACTAAACTTGCTATGAGTAGGTCAACATTGTGATTTTTGTAACCCCCGAAGTCTTATTCAAACATAGGCTTTGTTAATTAAAATATAGGGTAAAAGATAGACAAGGGGCTATGTTGTTCTACTCTTTACTGCACTGATCATTGGTCACTTCTAGATGCCTGGGATGATGAAGGGACTCAAAATCCTGTAATATGAGAGGGATAAGTTTAGCATTTTGGTCTAAAGATGTGAAGACACGGGGTACATTTATTTATCATCCATTCATTTGACAGATATTTACTGAGTACCTACTATATTCTGGTCTTTTTCTTTATAGAAGTTACATTCAAGTGTATGTGCCTGGGTGGGTTGGGGCAGATAAATAAATACCAGAAATAATTATATATATCATATATAATGTATTATATAATACAAATTATTTAATATTTAAATGTGAGAATGCAACACACATGAGCTTGTGTTTGTGTCAAGAAGTGGTAACTGCTATGGAGGGCGGGGTGTTAACAGGGCAGAACAACATTGTATAGCGATGGTCGGGCCAGGCTTCTCTGATAAGCTGACAGCTGAGAGGAGACACGGCAGAAGTGGGCTGGTGAGCTGAGTAGATGGTAAGGGAACAGTGAGTTCGAGGCTGTGAGGCAGGGGCCGGCCTGGTGATTTTCAGACGCATTGTGGCTGGGGCCAAATGAACGAGCCCTGTGGGGAGATGAGGTCAGAGAAGTAGTGGGGGCCAGGTCATGCCCAGCCTTGTAAACTCCTGTAAGTTCTTTGGCTTTTACACTGGATAGACGGTCACTGTTCTCAAATGCATCCACATATCAAACGTTTATTATGCCCTAACCTGTCCTTGAGAAACTCTCATTGTCATGGAGAAGATGAAAACACAAGTAAATATAACGACAATGCAATGTAATAATCACCATGACTTGTTAGTCATGTTACATAGTCATACATCAACTGCTCTGAGAAGGCTGGAGAAGATGCCAGCAACTCTGCCAGGGGGTTGCAGGGAGGGGCACGCAGAGTGGGTGGCGTGGCCACCAGAGCCGATGGCCAAATATTTCTGACCTGGCTTTCCAGGAGGACTGTATCTTCCAGCCCCCTCTTGGTTAGGTGAGGCCAGGGTACTAGTTCTGGCTGATGAATTGTGAGAGGAAGTGGTGTGTGTCTTTTCTGGGCTGGTGCATTAGCATTGCTGATGGGAGACGCCTTAGAGCTTTCTCTCTCCAGAGGTGACTGGCAGAGTTCAAGATAGTGGCTACTCTGCTCTGTCAGCCTGGGTCCCTCAGTAACCATAGAGTTTCTTGCTGACTCATAGTGAACATGTCTTGTGAGAAATAATCTTTTGGTATTTGAAGCCCAGATTTGGGGATTCCTTTTTCCTATCACGTAACCTACCCTATCAGGTGATAATACCAAACTTGACTTTAATGGATTATTCTTTAGGTAGAGAAGGCTAAAGTTCATTTCATGTAGAAGAACTTAACGTTTGCTAACGCTATATGTGCAAGAGCATGACTTGTTCAATGAATGCAAGTATTTGAAGGGTTGTAAAATGCTAAGCTTATGGCAAAAGATGTCAGGGAGGTGGTATCCATCAAATGGAGGAATCTACAAGGAAACAGATTTTAGCTCAACATACAGACTAGCATTGCTAAGAATGAAATCTACCTGGTTGTCATGGTAAGTAGTGACTTCCTGGTCACTGGAAGTGTTCAGGTACAAGCCGAAACACTATTTAATGAGAGTGCTGAAGAGGGGATGTTAAACATCAGATGAGCGATTGGGCTAGAATGAACACTGAGATCTTCTGTTTCCTGATACTTTATGAATTCTTGGTCTCATTGGGCTTTGAGGAGCCTACCCACTTTAACACTGGTAGTTTCTTAGGGCTGCCGAAACAAATAATTACAAACTGAGTGGCTTAAAAACAGCAGAACTTTATTCTCTCATAGTCTGGTGGCAGAAGTCCAAAGTCAGGCATCAGCAGGGTTGATCCTTCCTAAGGGCTCCAAGAGAGAATCTGTCCCATGCCCCTCTCCCAGCTGCTGGTGCCTGCTAGCATCCTTTGCCATTCCTCAGCTTATAGATGCATCACTCCAGTCTGTGCCTGTCTGTGCACCGTGTGCTCCTTGTTTCTTCATACGGTTGTCTTCTTGAAAGTATAGCAGTTGGGCTGGGTACGGTGGCTCACACCTGTAATCCTCGCACTTTGGGAGGCCGAGGTGGACAGATCGCGAGGTCAGGAGATCAAGACCATCCTTGCTAACATGGCGAAACCC